CTGCTGGGAGCCACAACACCATCTTCCTCTCCCGTCTCATAGGTCTCTTCTTTCTTCACACTTGATGGTAAATGTATAGTAGTAAAGGCAAACATGCCCCGGCAACTACAGGATCGCTTCATGTTCTGGTGATAGTATCATTCTTTTTCTATTTGTCACCACCCACTACATCTGAAAACTACAGAATTGTATCTAAAAGAAAGTATTACAGATTCTCACCATGACAACAGTTCATTTCTCTATCTGTATGGACATATCTTCAGAGGTACGCAAGAGATTTCAAGGGGTCAGGCAACACAGCTCTACACAACCTGGGGTTCTGACACTTCACTAGTTCTGAATAAGCCATTTCTCATCTACGGGATTGGATTAGAATACAGTAATTATGAAGCAGCTGGTTTTGCCGAAACAGAAAGGCTTACAACTTGCAAAGATATGAAACCAGTGCGTGCACGTTATATACTCATGAAGGTTTCACAGGAAGAAGAAAACAAGGGAAGGCGCAGACAATTGGACGAGGAAAAACAGATAAATCCGGATACATACAATTACTACAGGGGAGGACAGCTCATTATGCTGTCCTGTCGGGGAATTACAAGTACTTGACTAGCAGCCAAATCACAACGACCAGAACCACAATCCCAATGACGGATAAGAGCATGGACACACAAGAGCAACCACCTCTCATGCGCTTGTTCATTACAGCAAGGCTCTTCTGTACTCTCTGCTATCAAGAAAACCAAAACAGGGAGAGACATCAAAACCCAAATGTCATTGATGAGTTTACTGAGAAGGGTGCAATTGCATGCAGCTAACCAAACAGTTGCTTCATAAGAGTAAGAATCAATTCAGACCCGAATACATCACGGTCACGGGTAAGTTTAGCAATATAGTCTTTGAGGCGACCGATTCTTTCATATGTGGGCCTAAGTTTCTGAGGGTTATCTGACCAAACGAATGGAGAGTTGAAATGTATTACCCGTAAGCGGGAATCGGTAACATCCACGTGGTAGTCTAAGTCATCCTGTACATATATAGGAACACAAAGTCGGATTTGTTAAGATCAGACCATGAAACTGAAGGCAGAAGAATAAAATAAACGGAAACCATACGATAAGCCTTGTCTGCAGGTTCAGTTCCTCATTAACTGCCAAAGCAATGTGTTTTGTACTTATGACTGTCTCCTCCAACTTCTCAAGTCCCTCGTCTTGCTCTATTTAGGAAAACAAAAAAAGAACCCATGAGAGGATGAATACAAAAAGCCTGTTTTATACCGTACACAGAGGATAACATGAAGATCTCTTAACAAACAGGTTACCTCTCATAACTTGACGCTGAAATCCAACAATTCCTTGGTTGTCCATGCCAGCAACTCTGCTCATGCTGTCAGTCTGCTTTGTTTCTGGCCCGAGCAAGCTGTCTCTATTTGCAAAGTTTGACACGTTCAATGCAGATGCCATCTGACTTGCTTTTGATCTCAAATTGCTAATCATGTCCTTGCGTCGATTCATCTCTTTCTCCGAACTGTCCATCAACATGACACACAACAACGGAGTAAAGAAATGTTCAGACAGAAAGACCTCAGCTATAATCACCACACAGGAGAGACATGAACTTGGTTGGTGGTGTGTCTAATTTGCAGTTTAACTGTTGTAGGAGGAAACTAATAAGAGACGTACTTACATGGGTTGCTTCCCCGGAATCTTAGCTAGAAGGGACTGCAGACTGTCTAGTCGAGTCCCAAGAATCGTGATCTTTCTTCGTATTGCAGAAGCATGCCGTTGAGCTTCAGGCCCTGATACTACAGCCAATGAACTCCGTTCTGATATCATGCCATTTATATCCTCGGACAGCTTTAAAGCTTCATTGTACTCTCTCACCCATGAATCCGAAGAAGATGCCATTGTCCTGCAAATAAATGCTGATAAAAAATGATCTCCCCCGTACCAAACGTATTCCGATGATCAGAGCTTCTTCAGAGAAAGAACTGAGTTATCATACAAGATGCAACACCAGCAATAACAGAGATCGAAGCGACAAACTAGTTTCATGAACAAAAACTTCCTATTACATCACCCAGAATACTGAAATCCGTACCAAAAAGAACTTTCAGGAGTAGCACAGGTAATTGCGATAATTCTGAAAACTTTTGAGTCAAGCCACAACCATCGGAGAGCAAATACCATCACTTTCCGAATTGAATCAACAGGGTTGACAAATTCAGCATCAGAAAACACAGAAAACAGCGGCCGTTTCCCTAATTTCACACAAAAGGACATGAATTGTGCATGCCCAGAAATTTCCCAAGGCCTAGTGCTCGTTACGAGTAGGAGAGGTACATAATTTCTCAAAACCCGTGATACCCATCACCCAGAAATCCATAATCAGGCAAAAGATCGGACGATTCAGCACCTGGATTATTCCCAAGAGAAAGCATCGAAATTGACCTAAAGCACAATGTTCAAAGACTCGAATTGCTTACCCAGAAGTTTCTCGGACCTCGACCAAGCCGATTGACTTTCTCGGGGTATCCACCTTGAAGATTAAAACGAGATCGTCTTGGTGTGTTTTCCAGGCGTAAAACCACCGAGCAACGGAGGACAACGAGCGTCAAAGTTGTGAATGATGATGCCTTGTCCTTTTTCAGTCAAAAGAAGGGATTTCACAAAACGTCGTCGTATCGCGAAAAAGGGTCAATGAAGATTTGCAGCAATATGGGCTAATATCAGAAACACAGGGAAATATCGGGCCCACTTTATAATGTCATGGATTTATGGGCTATTTGAAAAATGACCAAATAAACTTTAATTTCCGAATTATAAAACAAATACGAATTTACAAATGATATATATATATATATATATATATATATATATATAATATTCTAATGTAACTAATGATTTGTTTATCCTTATTGGCATTTATATGACCAAATAATCGCTAATTTTCTATCATTATTGGCATTTATAATTTATTTATCCTTTAGTTAAAACAAAAAAGTTGTTCAAGTATTTAGTGGATCTTGGATCTTGGATAAAACTAACAAGATTTTGAACTCTATTTTAAGATATTTATATGATCTATGATAGTAATATCATTTTTGAGTTGTAGCATGTTGCTAGTTTTTCTAATAAAATATTAGGTTTTAATAATTAAAACTTTAAATACTAATCGAAAATTTATATTGAAAAAACATATTTTCAATTTTTAAAAATTCTTTTGGTCATCAGCCCGTAAAAATTTACGTAACAGACTCAAATTTGAAAATAATTATCTACAAGATTATATAACCAATAAGAATAAATACTCTCGTAATAATAATATATTGAAATTTTTGAAGTATTTATAGAATATTAGAATATGTTATATGTTGTTACAAAAAATTTTATTAGGTGGATCATCCCAAAAAAAAAATTATTAGGTGGAATAATCAACCGAAAAACAAAAATGAGAAACGTGCATATTCCGATGCTATCCATTTGGCACCTGGCTCTAATGTGAGATAAAATTGTGTTAATTTATATATATTGGCATTTGTCAAACTATGGGTGAGATATATATATATATATATATATATGTATTATAATATATTATATGTAATAATGTAAAAGATGGGTGTACATATTTGGGTACCCATATGATTAAACCGCATTAATAAGGGCTTAAATGCATGAAGTCTTCGTGAAGGCAACGGCACATTACAATGTACTCAATATTATATTGGGAAAGACATGATGCCATTATATGTAAAAGATGGGTGTACAATGTGTTTGTTTCAAGTGATGCATTTCCATTTGGATATATTATTATTATTATTATTATTATTATTATTATTATTATTATTATTATTATTATTATTATTATTATTATTATTATTATTATTTGCTTCAAACTCCTGCAAATTGGTCCATATAGATATTGAACTCTAGAAACCAATATTCATATATTCTTTATTTTAAATAATATTTTAATTAGGGATTAATATTTCAATATAAAAATAAGTCGATTCAAATCAAATTCGAATTAAAGACTGATCAAATATAATTTTTAAACAAAATAATGGTATCTGAGCTAATAATAAAATATCCGAAAAATTGAAGTAATGGAAAATCTTTCTAAAATGATTAGAGTTTTTTAATAAAAATTAATTTTAAATCGAATCTAAATAGTCTGATATAAAATTCCTTAGATGAATATTTCTTAAAACCGAAAATTTTTGAGTTGAAGAATCTAAATCGTGTTAATTGGAATGTAATGAATTTAATTTTCATGTACTCTTACCTCAAGAATATAATAAAGAAACCATTGAGTCAATGTTGAATCTGAAACAAATTAATGGGTATACACATTTAGGTAGAAAAGAGCCGTATAACTATATAGAAATATGGTAATATAAGTCGTATACTTTTGTATGTGAATAAAGTATACTACTACACTAAAAACTAAACCCATACGAAAATACTCCATCCGTTTCAAAATATTTATAGTTTTTTATTATTTTTATGTTTCAAAATATTTGTTATTCTACATTTTCAAGATATTTTTTACAATAGTTTCCAATTTTATCTTTTTCAAATTTTAATAAATTATTAATGATAACATTGTTTTTATCATAAAGATATATATGATTTTTTTTCTTTTTTAAAAAAAATATGAAATAACCTAAAATAATAATTATTATGAAAGGGGAGGGAGTATATTGCAAAAGGTTACTAGGGGAGAGATTGCGTGGGAATCCAACGTTAATTATTGCCTTTCGTGTATGAAATGGAGAGAAAAAAATTTATCATACGTACAAAGAAGAATAACGTATAATGAAAATGTGTATATATGTGTAATGAATGTATGTATATATATATATATATGTACATATCGTGTGGAAGAGGAGATTTGTCACGAATCCCGAGTGGCACGTAGTCAAACGAGACCTTGAATTGTGTAGATGGTGTTGGACCATCACGTGCACCTCTCACGGCCTTTCGGGATTTTGCCTTTCAGATCCCTCTCACCCGCACGTGCCACACCACACGTACGCCCACCAATTTTTTTTTTTCTGTTTAAAATAAGTGAAAATCAATCTATTTTTTAATACTGAATTTGAAATTTTTCTCTAAAAAATCATTCAAAATTTAAATTTTAACAAAATCCTTATCGGACCAGAATTAATTTTACCACGTAGGCAGAAAGCGCCTACATGGCATCTACGTGGCATGTACGTGTTCGCCATGTAGGATACATATGACATTAATAATAAAAAATTAAAACAAAATTGGAAAAAATGTAAAACAAATTATAAAAAATGTGAAAAATTACAAAAAAATGTAAAAATTGTAAAAAATATAAAATTGTAAAACATTTTCAAAAAATATAAAAATTATAAAAACTGTAAAAAATTGTAAAAAAATGCAAATTATAAAAATTGTAAAAATTGTAAAAAAAATGTAAAATTGTAAAAAAATGTAAAACATTTTCATAAAATGTAAAAAATTGTAAAAAAAAATTGTAAAAAATTATAAATTTTTAATTTGGTTTTTAAAAAAGGGAAATTTCCAAAAAACAATCATTCAATTACGAGATAACTATAAAATTCATCACGAACTTTACAATTTTATATTTGTTACAATTTTTACAATTTTTGGAAATGTTTTGCAATTTTACATTTTTTACAATTTTTATAATTTTTTGCAATTTTTTTTACAATTTTTACATTTTTTTTTTGTAATTTTTTTCACATTTTTTTATATTTTTTTATATTTTTCCAATTTTTTTAATTTTTTATTATTAACGCCACGTGTATCCTACGTGGCGAATACGTACATGCCACATAGGCGCCATGTAGACGCTTTCTGTATATGTGGCAAAATTAATTCTGTCCCGATGAGGTTTTTGATAAAATTTAAATTTCGAATGATTTTTTAGAAAAAAAATTCAAATTCAGTATGAATTTGGAAATTTTAAAAGTTCGTGATGAATGTGATAGTTATCTAATAATTGGATGATTTTTTTGGGAATTTCCCTTTTAAAAAAGTATCTTTTGAAAAAAATTGTAAAAAAACAATATTTGTTAGATGTTTTAAATGAAAAAATATAATATTGTTTAGTTCTTACTATTTCAATATCTACAATTGGCATAAAATAAAGTTTATCAATATTTCCTTTTTCATTGTTTTTCCGATATTTATTATAAATGTAAAGTTAAGTGGCGATGGATGATTTTCTCATCTAAAACTCCAAAATACAGTTATTTTATGATGAAAATTCACGAACACACATATATAAAAAATTAATACGGGTTTGAAAACAATATCCATATTGTTTACTGCTCTAATTTCCAAGCTCCAAATGACCAAGAAATTTTCACATTGACATTAATCCATATTATGGATTTAACAATTTATTGCAAAAAAATGCAAAACATAAAATATATGACATACAATGAAAGATAATATATATACCCACCAAAGCTATTTGTATATTTCCAAGTAAATGCATAATTACGAAACAAATTTATATATTTTTACTGAAATTAGATTAGCATTTTGATCATAGTTCCTAACTAAGTTAACATTTAACAAAATCCGTAATTAGACCATTGGATTTGAGCTAACTTCAAGGTCAATTTGGATAAAGAAATCGCATTAATTGGAACTTGGTTAAACAAATGTAAAAAAAAAATATCATGAAAACTGCACTGAAATTGATGCAATAAAGAGCATAATTCAAGGTACGATACATCATTTTCCTCCCAACATTTGACTGCAAGTTGAGGGTATAGAAGCTTCAATTCTTGTTTTGTCCTTGGGATACATAAACATATATATCATATATTATATTATAATATATAGTATTCAGTATATTAATCATTTCATTACTCTATGAGTACTTTGTTTCAAAGCTAATTAGTCCGTCCTAAAGCACAGCTGTATTCCACATACGGTGTTTAGTTTAATTAAAGTTAGTCCTCGACATTATGGTGTACCCAAAATATCAATATACATCTCTATATTTCCACATTTCAGAATCAAAATAAAAATTTTAAATTGTGAAATTTTATTTATTGTTTTTTTGTTATATTAATTTATGATGTTGTGGATCGAAATCTTGTTTTCGGATGTGAAATAGCCACGATTCAATAACTATATAGTTTAGCTATACATGTACAAAGGCCGTATGTGAGTATATAGTGGAATTCAACATAGATTTTCGGAGTAATTGTCATGTATTTCTGTGAGACCAACTTCGGTTTTTTAAATTAGTTCTTGCAAATAATCTCGGCACTGATCCATAAAAGAACCCACACGTCTCTCTCTCTCTCTCTCTCTCTCTCTCTCTCTAAGAAGAAAGGGACAGAGAGAAACCCTAAACACCGTGCCCTCAAAGCTAAGATATCACTTGTTTTGCAAAACAACTCTCTTTTGCTTGCTTTGCCTCTCTTCTCTCTCACTGTCTTCTACCTCTTGCCTGTAACAGAAGCAAGATTTCCCAGCCTCCAAGGTTCGTTTTCCTACCATTTCTTCCGACTATATATCATTGTCATCTGCATCACTATGTACGCATATATAGATACACGCACATATGGCTGCACACACAGACAAATGTGCTTTTTCTTTTCATATTCTCAGTTTTCCATTTCATCGCTTTGATTTGTCAAGAACATATCTATGGATGTTGAATCTCTTATACCTAAGAAAGAGACTGGAACTTCTAAGCACACAAACGGAGTTCAGTTCTCTGCTTCTTGTTTTCTCTTTGGAACACTTGTGCTTATATGTAAGATTTATACCTGAAGCTAGCGTTTGTTCTTCAATGTGTACATGCATGAATCTCATACATGTTATAGCTAGGGTTTTTTTTATGGATCTAGAAAACTCGAACCCCAAACCTAGTCTCTTAGATTCATTAAAAGATCTAGTGTTTATCTTGATATCTTACGTAGTTTTTGTAATAGAGGTATACAATATATATGGCCATACATGCATGTAACAAAACTTATCCATGCATTATGAACATAGAAGTATTTCTTTATTTCATGCGTGAAACATGGAGGTGTATATATACTCTTATGGTAGAAAAACGCCGATTTGCATCACTTGCCATCTGTTCTTACAATCAAACAAAGCCGATTTCCGAGATGTATCTCATGAAATATTCATGTCTACTATTCTTTTATGTGTCATATATGAAATACATTATTGTTAATTGGCATATTGTCTAGGGCAAAGAGGAAAAGGACCCATATCTTGATTTGCTTAAGGAGAAGTGAGGATGGATATAGGATCTTCAGGACAACTGAGTGTGCCGCCTGGATTTCGGTTTCATCCGACCGAGGAGGAGCTTCTTTACTATTACCTCAAGAAGAAGGTGTCCTACGAACCAATTGATTTGGATGTTATAAGAGAAGTTGATCTCAACAAGCTTGAGCCTTGGGAGCTTAAAGGTACACTTGTTTACTAATTACCCACACTTGTGTATCACTTTGTATGTTTGTCGATCATTATCACCTAATCCACCAAATTCAAATCTGATAATATTCTATTGCATGATCAAATTAGCAGTATTATCAGACGCGTTGCCTGAAACTATTAATATATCTCGAATTTCAATGTATTTAAATATTAAAAAGATATGTATTTTCATTTATATATCTTGATAGAGGTATAGATTTGATACACAAACCCTTTTGTGAATATGGCGAATATGTATAGTTGGCCTGCACAAGACTACAAGTTACATGTCAAAGGTCAAAGACGCAGATTTTGGTTATTTGTCCAATTAAGGGTTTTGTCTGCATGTTCATGAAAACATGCATCTAGTTTATGCCCTTTTTATCAGACAGTGAAATGTTTGGTTCTGCTGTTTTTGTGGAATCCCGTGGAACCATGCATACATATATATATGTGTATATATATATATCCATCCATCAAGAAAGAGACAAACTTTTCTGTTCATTCATGTCCTTTTGATTTTTTTTTCTTGCCTGCTAACAGCAGACAAAATACAATCGTTTTCGTCATATATATGACTACGTAGCAATATTGTACTTCAGTATAACAAAGAAACCCACATAGCTTAATTATTCCCATATTCATTCGGAATAAGAAAACCAAGTCATCGTCATATAATAATAATAATATGATATTTTTCAATTCTGATAACATATTAAGCTTTATTGTGTATCATCATGTATATTTTTTTTTTATTGCTAGACTAAAAATATATATAGAAAAGTGATAGTTTGATTCCTTATATATATTTACGCGTATTACATTCAGTATAAATCATAATATTCATTGGATTAATTAAATCGCATGGGATGATAACAGAAAACTACTATAACACATGAAAACGTAGGTTATTTATTAATTCATCATAGTAAGTGTCTTTAATTAAATTATGTGTTTTACAAGAATGGTAATTGTCTGAGGTAATCTTTGATTCTTCCCAAGCTAAAACTGATATATATATGTATATATGTATGTATGTATGTAAATGAAGAGAGATGTAGGATAGGGTCCGGCCATCAAAATGAGTGGTACTTCTTCAGCCACAAGGACAAGAAGTACCCGACGGGGACACGAACAAACCGAGCGACAGCAGCCGGGTTTTGGAAGGCAACTGGCAGAGACAAGGCCATCCATATGAGCACTTCCAAGAAGATTGGCCTTCGCAAGACCCTCGTCTTCTACACCGGTCGTGCTCCTCACGGTCACAAGACCGATTGGATCATGCATGAGTATCGCCTCGATGATTCTCACAACGACATCCAGGTACTTTTACATACATCCATATATATATATATACACACACACCTTGAATCACCACGAAAATGTCGATGTTCTTGCACCATATATAATGAACTGCTTGAATCATATATATTAGTTGTGAACGTGAATTGCAGGAAGAGGGGTGGGTAGTGTGCAGGGTCTTCAAGAAAAAGGCCCATTTCAGAGGCTTTCTCCAAGAAACACCCGACCAAGAAGACCATCCCCACCGCTACACGACCACAACCCATGACGATGATCATCATCATCATCACCATCACATGAATCCCAATCCATGTAACCCTTCATCATTTCCACATCCTATCGATCATCATCATCATACCATCACCCGGAGAACGGGTCTCCAGCCTTTGTATGGCTTCCCCAACACATTCAGCCACCAACAAAGCTCAATGCATCTCCCACAACTCTTATGCCCTGAAACAGCAGCAGTCACAGCCCATCCATTCAGCACAACCGACCTCGAATGCTCTCAGAATCTTCTTAGGTTGACTTCTAACAACAACTATGGAGGAGATTGGTCGTTCTTGGACAAGCTTCTTACTTCTTCCGCGACCATTCCTCAGCAGCAGACACAAGCGAAATCCCTAGTCGGTCCTAGCAATGGCGACAACAATAACAATCAAACAGCAGGCAATCAACATCATGATGTCGGAAGCAATGCTGGTTCTGTCTCTCAGAGGTTCCCGTTTCAGTACCTTGGGCATGAAGTTAACCTTCTCAAGTTCTCCAAGTAGAATTGATGATGAACTCTTTGTGGTGATGATCTCATGTTGCAGTTCTATCGTATCTTTTGTAAGCTGTGGAACCTGGCACAACCACCAGCAAACTGTTTCCAGAAATTTGGGTTCGTCTTTCATTCATGAATTTTTGTATTTTATTCGATGCGTATCGTTTTATAATTTACTAAATTTAGTTTGTGAACTATCTAAATGACAATAATTCAATTTGGGTAAATCGACCAGTGAAATAGAAATGAAAAAACGTATGTTCCGTTTCGAATTCAATCTCAAACTAAAGAGAAAGATATATTCTAATTACATACGATTAATTTGGATGTCGTCCAAGATATCTAGTTATCCAAAATAAAAAACTAACTAAAAGACAACTCTTGAAATGATACCGGAGTGAGGGTAATTGTCATAAATTCATCTCAAATTCAGAATATGGTCACGATTCAATAAATATATAGTTATTTGGTACGATTTAAAGGGACTTCCAATGGACTATGCCCATGGTCGATAAATTTTGGGTCGTGTGTTTCACGCTCCAAAAGGCGCGTGAACTTCCCTAGTCTTGATCTCTCCATCTAAACTGCGTGCCGTTTGCGAACGACAGTAGGTTTTCCCTTCCGATGAGTAGAGAGCTTTCGTCAGCAAAAACGATTAAAGTCAATGTCCTCGTGAGCGTTTTAAAACGACTCATTATCCACGTCGGATGATGCCTCGCATACGCGGTGAGTGAGTACGCATTGGTCACGTTTCTGGCTTTCTGGTACAGCATCATCGATTGCCAGAGACTGAAGAGATCTGATCTATCAATGTTGATCTTTTTCTTCTTCGACATTTCAATTTCTCGGATTTATGGAGAATTTAAGGGAAATCAGAAGGACTTTTAAGATGATTAGGGTTTTTTATGTTGCATTGCGTGTTTTCGTTTGGCGAAGTGTTGATACTGAGAACATTTGGAGACTAGTTGTTGACTGATCTGCAAAGTAATCCATTTCCGGTTTTTTTCCACCGATATACGCATATAGTATTGCATGGTTACGTCATATCGACGCTAGGATTCTTGTCTGTGAATGATTTTTCATAAACCCAAATTTCTAGGATGCATGAAATGGGATGCCGTGAAATTTTAGTTTTTGTTAGTGCATTGCCTATACTCTGTTCGTGAAAATGTCAGAGAGAGAGAGAGACCCTTTCACTGTTTGGTCTTTCTTAGAAGCGGAAGGGTGTCATATGATACTTTTGCTGTTGAGCGTTTCATGCTTGCATTTCAGAAACATTCAACTGTGTCGTGGGGACAACAACGAGATTGAAAATTGAGTGAGCGGTGCTTTGTTTTCTCCGAAAAAACTGGGTTTTCTTTTTTATGGAGCTAAATGTGAAAGTTCCACGCAGGTTGGTTGCTATATTCATCTGACTCCTTCAGAGAGAGAAGAAAGGGCACGCCGCATTTTCCTGAGGATCGATGGCGAAAGGTGATTACTTTAATCGAGATGGCGTAGTAGTAGACTTGAAATGCTTTGGCATTTGAATTTGGTGGATGAAATGGGTTGGTTTAGGAGCCAGAATCTAACTTTGTCTGATCATCAGAAGACAGAACGAGTCTTCCGCGTGCTTTGTGTTAAAGCCATGATACCCTAAGGAATGAGATGAATGGGTGACTTGAAAAGTTGTGACACAAATATTTTAATACATAAGCAGAACTGAACGTGGTGCAATAGCAAGAACAGGCTTGGATTTTATAGTGGCGAATGAGACTTATGACAGTAGTCAAAGGCTTTGCTTAGAACCTTTCAGATCAATTTGATGGCAAACTTCTATGAACATGTTTTGTCAATGGTCAATTGTCAAAGGCTGTACCTGGACTCGTTCAGATCGATTTCATGGCAAACCTCTATGAACTTGAGGTCAATCTGATGTTCTTCCGGTATAAAAAATGATGCGGGTGACAAACTTGTTCTTATGTTCTTGTTCAAGTTCAGAAAAAATCGTCAAAGGCATTGATCAATTTCAGATCAATCACTGCTTAGCCCTTTTGTTGGCTGATAATTGTACTTTTGTTCCAGTTAAATGTCTTCCGGGCCTTCACCTTTTACCTGGAGGTATGATGTTTTCGTCAGCTTCAGAGGGGAAGATACCCGTTCCAACTTTGTCAGCCATCTCTACAGAGAGCTGAAGTGTGCAGGATATACTACTTTCAAGGACGACAAGGAGCTACAGGCAGGTATGAACATCAGTCAAAAAATCCAAAATTCCATAAGAGAATCAAGGGTGTCAGTAATAGTGATTTCTAAGCATTATGGTCATTCAAAATGGTGTTTGGATGAGCTACTTGAGATATTGGAATGCGAGAGGAAGTTCCAGCAAAGAGTAATACCAGTTTTCTATGAGGTGGATCCTTGTGAAGTGAGATACCAAAAAAGATGTTTCAAAGAGGCCTTTAAGAAGCATAACAGGATCCTCAAAGCGGAATTCCGTGCCTTAAGATCTAAGGGCAACATGGAGGAGGCTGAAATGTATGGCAGCGCAAAGGCCGACCAAATTCGTAAGTGGAAGGGGGCCTTAAGACAGGTAGCAGAGAAATCAGGCTACTGTTCTAAGACCTGGTAATAATCCTTGACATCCTCTAATAGTCCAAAAGCTAAAATAGTTAAGATAATTAAATAGACATATATATATATATCCACTCCAATTTTAGTGGATATTAATATCCATGACATAACCTATCTACTGAATCAAATTGTATCTACTTATCAAATGGACCAAAAAATATGTGTAAGAGTTTGAAGGGGAGGTGTTGCTGTTGTAACCTGTTTCTGCCCCTGTTAATTGAGAGTTAGATGGGTGGTTTCTCAAAGTTTTCCCTTTTCTCTTCCGTAATAGAAAATTTGCTCACAGATAATGTAAATTTGTAAAATCACGGGGAACTTCTTACCGATATCCCTAATATCTTCCTAAACATACCTGATAACTGTTTGAACGAAATGATTTGTGTCTCGATATAAGTTGCGGGAGTTTTCTTTTCTTGGAAAGAAACAACTGAAGACTGTCACTGACTTCATCTATTTATTTCTCATTTTTGTCATTTTATGTGATAAAGCGAATGAATGCTTGATGATTCCATTCTTCTTGTTTTAGAGATGAACTATAAGAGATTGATGTAAATGTTTACATATATACACCCAACAATGGATTTATGATTCCAAAAGTTCTCACGGATGGTTCTGTTTTTCATTGGGTAGCTGCGAGGAGTCGGAGATGATTCAGAATATTGTTGAAGATGTCGGCAAGGCACTGAATTTGGAACCAGAAACCAATCCTGTTAACTCAGGAGAGATAAACTGCTACAAGGAAGATATAAAAAAATTGTTGAAATTAACTTCTGCTTCTAAAAAGGTTCGGATGGTGGGCATTTGGGGAAAGGAAGGAGTAGGGAAGACAACGCTTGCCCGGGCTGTTTACGTTGAGACAAAAGTCCATTTCGATTGGCATTGCTTCATAGATGAAGTCGGGAAGATCTCCACGGTACGTAACACTTCCGGTTTGCAGGAATATCTCCTGGCCAAGACATTCCAGCAGGAAGAGAGGATAACGAATGATGATGCCTGTGCGATAAAGAACAGGCTACAGTCCAAGAAGGTTCTTATTGTTCTTGATGGAATTGACCATAAGAATCAGTTGGATGCATTAGCTAAGGACGTGAACTGGTTTGGTCCTGGAAGTAGAATCATAATAACGACAAGGGACAGGAAGTTGCTCACCCGACATGGAGTGAAACATATAAAGGGCATGCCTGAACGCAAACTCGGTGAGTTCTTCATCAAGGGGCCACTTCGAAGAATGAAGAATCTCGCATATTTTTGTGAGCTTCGCTATTTTGCAGGGACGTTTGTCGAATGCCTTCCTTGTTGGAAATTTTTAAGAAAAGACAGGATACGAGTCGCAACATGTGTTGGAATGTATCAAAATCACAGATGATCTCAACTCATGTTATCATTTTTTTAAACAATGATTTATTAACCCATAGTTCAACTTTTTCAGGTGCAAAACGCATGTTCCGTCCTGAATTCGAACTTCAAATTTAGAGAGGAAACGTATATTCTAAATCAATCGGATGGCTACCGGCCCCGAGATTAGTATAGATCTTCATTACCTAAAAAAACCAATGATTTATTAGAATACGCTTCTCAAATATGTATAGTAAAATCTCAGTATATTCGATTCGCCCTTTAAAATAAATGGTATACAATAAACTCGGATATACATATTACTCAAACAATAATATTCTTTTTTTTTGTATATTTTGTTTCTTATAATAGTCTTATTTATAGACATCAAGATGTGTATTTTCTAAGGTTTCTTGTAGTATGAAAAATTTATCTCTATTATTATCACAAAAGGTTATTAACTATTTCATATATATAACAATTCATAATTATATTCATGAAAGAGTAAAACTTTTTGATAAATTTTGAATAGACTTTTTTTTTTATAATGGGTATAATATAATTGTATTGGAAAATATCACCTATAAATCTATAATAATTGTGATCTCGTATCTATTAGGATTTTAGACTCAAAATATTCATAGCTCAAAGAAAAAAAAATTAGAAACTACTTTCGTATCGTATGCACGAAGAGAGAATTTGGTTGTTGAAAAAATTAAATTTTCAATATTAAAAAAAATCATCTAACATACATGAATTATTATGAATATTATCGAATGGAAGTAAGAACAAGAAAGGGTTTTTATATCTTGGCACAATAGACCCAATAATAACTTGAGACTCAATTGAGAAGCGCCCATGCACTTCTCAATTGTAAAAAAAAAAAGGGTAATTCAATAGAACTTAAACGGCAAAAAATACTTAGAAACACGAACTTTGCAACAATACCAAACCCTTCACAAATTCTCTGAATGCTTTCAAGATTCACCGTTTTTAAAAATCTGACTGATTGTACCGCTACAATTGAAGGGGTGGATAGTAACGTTTTCAGAATGTTTGGTAACGATTATGAATGGTTGATACTTGATAGATGGTTGTTGATGGTTATTACAGTTAACTAAGATTAGAAGTGAATGGTTGTAACCGTTTACAATTGTATTTTGTTATAAATTATTAAAAAGTACATGAATTTTAAATAATTTTTTAAATTAATTGTAATTCATTTTTATATTATCATTTGATAGAAATTATTTTATATAATTTATAAATAATTATATAAAAATATTTTAAAATATAAGTTCCATCAATTTAATTTATATTTAATTAAAAATAATTTTATCATAAAAATATTAAAAATAATTCAATCTATGTTAAACTAGTTTTGCATAACCTAATGTACGGGTCCATGTTCCAGAATCCTATCCAATGAATTCAAAACATTGTTGCACATTTGCCATTTAAATTTACGAATAGATTCAAAGGGATCATGCTAAGTGTAAAAGTACATGCATCATGATGAGTCCATGAACAAGATCCTGCCTAAGAACTTAAGTTAAGGTTGAACTCTGAAACTGGAATTGGTGGAGAATTCAGACAGAAGTAGAAAAAGATGGCCAAAATATTTAGACAAAATGAACATAATTACAAACAAACAGAACGGAGTGTTGGACGAAATTCTAAGATCGAAAACTGACGCTGGAGATGTTTTGGAAGAGCTTTCCACTGAGTTCTTTGAGGTTTTACTTCTCGTCCTTGGGTTGATCCTAATGTGAGATCGACAAAATAACTCAGAAAAAATCGATCCCCATTTGTTCAGAAAGCTCATCCTAATATGAACCTAGAAACAAAACATATTTCTATTTTCTAAATCGAGATATGTGAAAAGTATGAAGAGATGAAAGCAAGTTTGTCCCTAAACTAAAAAGAAAACCATAGGATTCAAACAGATCTATAAGGAGAAATCGGAAACAGGAAAACAAAACGAAGAAAAGAAACCATAGGATTCAAACAGACGTACCTGGAGACGACAGGGATGATGAGGTCTAACGAGTTTCCGGCGAATTCCAGGGAAGACAAAACCCTAATCGATAGAAGAAGAGAAATGAGTTATGGAAAAGATGACGCTAGAAAGAGAGAATGGAGAGATTTAGTTTTTTTGTTTAAATTTTTAGAAAGGGTATTTTGGTCTTTTAATTAAAACGTTGGAAATCGTTACCCAAACATACAAAAAAAACGGCATTTTGATTCTTAAAATTTGGTTGCGATTGCGTTTATTTAACCATTCACTTTCGTAACCGCTATCACCCGCCAGAAACCGCAACCGTTCCATTTGTGGATAGCAGGGTGCGACCAATCGGCCCCTAAATCTCCAAGCTCCTGCCATGTATGGAAGAAATATGATTAAACGTTTCTAGTATACATCAATATGAAGCTGCAAAAAAAAAAAAAAAAAGCATGACAAAAACGCAGAAGAAACATGTCGTTTGATGTTCTAAAGGGAACACATACCGAAAGATGAACTTTCCCAACCGAGACAGGACATGCTGTTGCTCTAACGTATACGAACGTGACGATCTCGTCGAATGTCCGATATTAGGAACAAAGATGAACTTTAGATGCGTCTGGTTCCTCCACGCAGGTGGCAAGTTCCTGAGCCTTTTGCAACCTTCCATGTTAAGGTACATAAGCCTCGAGCTAACGAATACGGTTGAAGGTACTTCTATCGATGTTCTGTTCAGGACCAGTGACTCTATGTTACTCCCGACCTCTGGGAACAATGTGATGTTCGGACAGTCACCTAGTCTGAGGCATGAGAGTGAATCCATGTCCTTGATGGTGTCCGGAAGATTCTTCAGTCTCTTACACCCTGTCATACTCAATGACGCGAGCCGTGATAGGCTCTGGACCGACGGTGGCACTTCCTCAATTGCTGTCTGGTCAAGCCACAAGTCCTCGACATCTTCTAGACCCGACGGGAAATCGTTTATAGAAGAGCATCCGTCGAGATGGAGGGTTTTGAGGGACCTCAAGTTGATGTTTTTCGGGAGATTCTTGAGCTTCTTGCAGTAGCTAAGCTCGAGTAGGACGAGTTTGGCGAGATGGCCGAGGGAAGAAGGAATCTCGACCAAGCTTCGACAGTGACACATCTTTAACTTCTCCAGATTCGTAGCCTTTGAAAGATCCGGGATTTCGACGAGGTTCTTGCATCCATTGAGATTCATCCTCCTCAGATTACCAAGTTCCTGTCGTACAAGGAAGAAAGAAATCTCTCTAAATGGTTAGATGAACAGACAAATCCCCTTTCAAAAGGGTTGCAAGGTAACAACACCTGAGTTCCATTCCAAAGTGTTTGAACCGAACTGTTTGTCAGATTGAGTTCGACGAGATATACGGTAGAGAATTGAGCGGGGAGCGATTTCAGACAGTAAGCATCCCAGTGAAGATATCTCAGCCTAGGGAGGTAGTCTAGATCACAGGGCATACTTATCTGGTTCCTTTTGATGTCGGAATCCCCATAAAACTTGAGCAACTTGAGATTGAACATCTTCTTAAAGATCTCGGGATGTATATGAAGCTCCTCTTCTTCAGTGATCTTGAGAAATATGCTTTCGACTTCGATTGCTTCAGGCCCCTAATGAAACAGAATAAAAGGATAAGACAAGCAGAGATGGAGCAAATGTACGAGACGACATTCTCTTCTTACCGCATTTTCAGAGAACAAGTAACGGATATCGTCAGAATCCCATAGAATCCTACGTTTTCTCGGGTGTTTTTCTTTGCAAATAATATCCCTTGCCAAATCTTGGAGTAGATCATGAACCCGTATCCTCTTCTCGTTCGAAACAGTGATCAGACACTTCTCCACCAAAGCCACAATGCCCGGTGTGCAAGGCAGAGGCTGACGTCCGGGAGACACTATGAAAAGGTCTAACACTTCTTTAACCTTGTCCACATCCTCGCCATTGAAACAGCAGGCAACGTGAAGAAAAACCGTTTTCTCTTGCTTATCCAATGCATCATAACTCTCCCTCAATACCTTTGAGATGGAGTTATCAAGATTATTCTTCAGTATAGCCAATTTGTCCTGCCAATACGATATGTCACGGCGATATAGAGATGCACCGATGAGTTTGAGAGCTAACGGAAGACCACCGAGTTGATCAACAACATCAATGGCAAGCGTTCTGAAATCTTTGTGCGGACGAGGTTGTCTGAATGCATGGTTGCTGAAGAGCTGAAGTGCTTGATCAGACACAAGGGGCTCAACTTCGTATATGTGTTCCACATCATGCTGCTCTAACACACGTTTGTCCCGAGTGGTTATGATGATTCTGCTTCCTGGTCCAAACCAGTCGGAACTTCCAGCCAGTTCTTGTAGTTGTTCTATGTCGTCGACATCATCTAGAACAAGGAGAACCTTTCTGTTCCGGAGCCATCGCTTCACGGCACCATTACTATTGTCATCGCCGCTTATGTTCAGGTCCTTCCTTCTGAAGATTTTCGATAGAATTTTCTCGCGTAATTGCGAAGGACCATGTTGTCTGAACTTTCCTTTCACGTTCTCTAACAAGCAAGAGCATTGAAACTTGTTCGAGAGGATTTCGAAGATGAACTTCGCAACTGTGGTCTTACCTACGCCACCCATTCCCCAGATTCCTACCATTCGGACATCTTCAGAGTTCAAGTTTAACAGAGGTTGTATCCTTCTCATGTGGGAACTCATCCCGACAAACTCGCCGGATTCACTTGGTGACACCAAGAATAACCTGTTGGAAAGATCTTGAACAAGCTCCTGGATGAGATCTGATTCCTCTCTCCTGCATCGAAGCAGATAAGAAATTGTAACCACAAGACTAAAGATAGATGCAACTGTTCATACCCAAAACAGAGCAATTTCAGGATTTCAGATCAGAATTCTGCTGCGCTCTCACCAGTTCCTGGAATCCCATCCAGAAATCCTCCCAACTTGAGCCAAAGCCTTTCTCCATCTCTCCACAGTCTCGAGACCAAACCTTAGTTCATGCTCGGCTAAGGCCCTGTTGAAACTCCGGTTCTGCCTCTTCACGTCGATGTTGTAGAAAACCGGAACCAATTCGAGGCGTTTCTTCTCGGCGCAGTCGGTGATGTGCAAAAGCTCTCGTAAGCACCAGTGAGAGTTCGGGTAACTCTCTGAGAGCACAACAATGGCGATTCGTGACTCTTCGATGGCTTCGGAGAGAGCTGGGCCGATGAAATCCCCTCGCCGGAGTGCCTTGTCGTCGCGGAAGACGTGGATCCCACTGTCGGTGAGAGCTCTGTAGAGATGGCTGAGGAATCCTCTTCGGACATCTTCCCCTCTGAAACTGAGGAAAACGTCGTACTTCCACACAGATCGCGACGGCGAAGGAGAAACTGAGTTGGGAAAACCAGAAGGCTGCTGAAACATTTGCGTCTCCGTCCTCTTCCGAAACCGAAGGAGACAGCGTAATCTTCTGAAGAAGACGACGAAGAAGCTGAAGATGGATAAGAAGAAAGACGTCGCCATGGAAGAGCAGAGAATTCTCGAATTCTACAGTGTGAAGTCGGAGACGTAAACGTAATAACTGGAGGGGATTTTTTCAACGACGGTCTTTCCAGTTTTCTTGTGGTTAACTTATTTGTCTTTCAAAAGTCAAAGAGCCCACCCGCTTTATTTTAAATGGTCAGAACCCCTTTAAAATTTTAACGGAACACGTTTGATTGCTTCAACAATAATAAAATTAATTCAAATTCATCTCTCAAATTCAAAGATTCGATGTTCGATTTAAAATACTCAATTAAAACCGTCTATTAGGATACGGTCTATTTCTTTCAAAAAAATAAATAAATCAATTGTCATTTCTTAACATTCAAACCATAAATAAATAAAGATATTGACTATCAAATACTCATCATTTAATCTCAACCATAAATAATAAAACCATGCCTGGATTGGCAAACGGTTCGGTTATACTGTTACCAAATTATAACCAAATTAAATCGAACCAATTAAAATTAAATAAGCCGTTTGGATATTAAATCTCGAATTCATTCCGCAACAGAAGACACCAAGTCCACTAACCTATTATCAGACCTTTCGTGTGAAATAATTGGGCCACGTTTCTTATTGTAACTATGGGCCTAATGGGCTTTCGTATGAAATAATTGGGCCACATTTCTTATCGTCATTCCCCGATCTGAATGAAATGATAATCAATTCAACCGTATTTGGCAGCCTGCTTGATTTTTTCTTTTCTTTTCACGACCTAACGAATTTTACTATATCTTTTACAGAAGTTAGATTTGATTCATGAATTATATATATATACACACACTCGTCAATATCCATGCAGTGATGCAAAGGGCTATATTTTAAAAATAAAAAATAAAAAATAAAAAATAAAAAACAGAGAAATATGTGTGTATATATATATATATCAAAAGAACTAACCACGACTACGAATTCAGTGATCCAAGATATCCGTTCGCGGTTTTTTTTTTTTAAAAAAAAACAACAACAAAGTTCGCGGTAAAAAAAGAAGCAAAGTTTCTAACCCGATTTAAATTTTTATTTTGAGTAGGACATTTCCATAGACTTCTTCCAAAAAATCTTATCTTTTAAGAGATAATAGTTGGGTCAGGTAAAATTTCGGATTATAAAAAAAATTCTGTTTCAGTGAAAAGTCTCGGGAATTTGGAATTTGGAAGTGAAATAGAGAAAGGCCACGATTTTTGTATAATCCAACGCCTCTCATGAGTCTCCCTCGATACCTTTGAGATACAGTTTATCAAGATTTATTTTTCAACATACGCAATCCAGTGCAGAGATATGCATGCATACGCCCTCTTATTCTTCGGACACGAACGAGTCATGCATCTATATACACATATTCATATATGCATGGGTAGAGCGCTTAGCCGGTTCCGGTGACGCCGAGATCCTGCTTGTTGTCGTATTTGCCGGCGCCGAAGACGGGACCACCTTTTCCGGCGGCGTCGGGGAGTTTGTCTTGGAGAGTGTCGACCTGAATACCGCCTTCGTCTTCCTTTGACCGTATGTCCAGCTTTGTCTTGTTCTCTCCTCCCTGTACGGACTCGTACATCGTCGCCGTCTCCGATCCCTTCGGCTCCGCTCCCTGCGCTCCCGACATCTTTCCCTGTTCTTCTCTCTCGAGTCTTATTCTGTTCCGTAGTAAAACTCAAATCTAATCTACTCATATCTCGTGCTCTGATCTTATGAACTTTCTGCATCTTGACACGTGTCTTTCATGAAACACACGTGTCAGATCCAAAAGCGTCGTATACTTACGTGTAGCTGTAACTAGAACCACAATATGAGAAAACAAAGGGTTGACTTTGACTATAAATAGATGTGACTCGGATACAAATATATGATTACATTACATTAATAATTTACACAAAATAAAAGAATCCGAGAAATAAAACAAAGTTGTATTCTAATGATACGAAGACAAAACAATGAAACAATGTGTATTTCCATTTTCTACAAATTCAGTAATAAAAAAAGAATATTTTTAAATCCAAGAATATGGTTTTAATTAAAAAAACCATATTTGCTAAAAGTATTCAAATTTAATGTAATCTGGATCATCGCTAGGATCACTATTACCACCGCCGTTGTCTTTTTCACCGCCGTGCGTCGTAGTTTTCTTCCCGGCGACCGCCATGATCGCTGGCGAGGAGTCCTTTTCCTTGGTCGTGTAACAGGAGAAGTCCACCGGCTCCGGCACATTTGGCGGCGTCGCGCTCCGGATCAGAGCCCAATTCACTCCTTCGAAGAATGGGTGCTGCTTTATCTCCGTCGCTCCTCGCTTGTACGCGATCCTCTTGTGAGGCTCTTTTACCAGAAGGCCCTTGATCAGGTCCCTCGCCGCCGAGCTCACCTGAGGGTATTCCGGGAATTTCAGCGGTAGCCCTATCACGTTGTAGAGCGTCGCTCTGTTCCCTTGTCCCTTAAACGGCGTCGTTCCGTGGAGGAGCTCGTAGATGAAGATCCCGAAGGTCCACCAGTCGACGGCGCTTCCATGGCCTTCGCCTCGGATGATCTCCGGCGCCAAATACTCGTGGGTTCCGACAAAGGACATCGATCTGACGTTTGTCGGCTCCGCCATCAATTCCGGCAACGATCCGTTGACGAATATCCCGAAATCGGATTTCGCTTTTCGGTTCTTCTTCGACGATTGGAGGATCCTGGGGAAGAACGCCGACGGCTGGATACATCCTTGCACCGCCGCATCATCTTCGAGGATTCCGGAGGATCGGCCGCCGCTTCCGCCGGCGTGGACGGAGGAAGATTTGACGAGGGTTGGATTGACGGAGCATCGGAGGGATAAATCGAAATCGGAGAGCATAATGTGACCGTCGTCTCTGACGAGAACGTTCTCTGGCTTCAGATCTCGGTACACGATTCCTAGCATGTGTAAGTATTCCAATGCCAATAGCACTTCCGATGCAAAGAACCTGCCACAGAAAAATCAAAACCCTAATCATGTATCAGATGATCCTAATCTCCCATTGTGATGTTCTTCAGGTGATTGATTTGGTTCGGTGTTGTGGGTCTAAGTCTAACTCTGTTTTCTAAAAAGTACTGACCTTGCCGCATCTTCTGTGAAGAACTTGTTGGGTTGCTTCTGTCTCAAGGAATAGAGATTGCCGCCACTGCAGAACTCCATGACCAAGCAATAGAACTTGTCGGTCTCGAAGTGTGTGTACAGAGTGGGCAAGAACGGGTGATCGAGCAGAGACAAGATCTCCCTCTCTGTCTGAGCTCGTAAAAGCTTGTTCCGGCTAGCGAGAGAAGCTTTGTCCATCACCTTCATGGCGAAGTACGTGTCCGTCCCTCTAAGCTCGACCAGATAAACACTGCCGATATCTCCATACCCGAGCCGTTTCAGAAGGCGGAAATCGCTAATCCCGAGTTGGATGCCTCTGGATTTCAGCATGTTCACAGCATCCCACCTTATGTCTCCGCCTGTGTGGGGCTTTGACGGAGCAGAGGAGGTGCTGTCAATGCTGTTGCTCCTTGAACTCAAGTTACTGTTGTTGTTGTTGTTGATGGGCTTTGTGGTTATGGTTGTGGTCATAAGCGACTCGGTCATGTTGGGACCAGGTGACGATGGCGGGATCTTCGGGCTCGGAACAGGACGATGATGATTGCTGAATCCGGCCGGCTCTGGTTTTACCAAATGATCGATCATCTTGGGGTTGAACTTCTGCTTCTGCAAGTCTTTTTGGGATTGCTGAGATTGATGAATGTTATCAAAGGGCTGGGCACAGAGAGCAGATTCTTTCGGCTTCTCAGACGAAACATAGCTCGACTGCAGAAGAAACAATTCAAAGGTAGTAGATATAAGCACTCATTCATCAGACAGGACAGCCTCCCTGAACAAACATGACAGGGGGAGAGAGCGGGTCTCTTCAAGCTTACCTCGGGCGAGTCGAACTTCTTTCCGAGCTTTGCTAACATGGCCGCCGCTGCAAAGGCGAAACCCTCAAATCAGAGATCCTGCTTGGGCGTTGAAGGACAATCTGTGGAGGGCAACATTTTTTTTTTTAATCATCAAATCCGACATTAACTTAGCTTAACAAGAATGGCGTGGCATGCATGTCTTCTGATAAATTAAAAGAAAGAAGGTTTGGTCTGCACGTTGGAATCCCCACGAGATTTCTTCTATTTCTTTTTTTTTTCTCATCCACCGAATTTCTCATATGCCTCCAAGAATTCGAATCCAGACATCATTTAAGAAATGCATGCATGAAAATCATTTGCTGGAATTTGCATAAGCAATCGATGAAATGCAAGGAAAAAACAAAACCTTACGTTCCATGCGTGATCTCTCCGTGGAGATCATGAAGGAATCTTTTTTTTTTCTGGGTAAAACAATGAATTAATATGCTTGAAATAATATTTGGAATTTGGGGGAAAGA